TAGTCCCGGCGAACAGGAACCTCGAATCTTCACGCATATATGTTAACACACAAGCCATCAAAACTGATGGCGCACCTATTGACGAAACGACTACCAAAGATCCGGCCACATCCACTGATGCCCCAACGACTACCAAGGAGCCTGTCACATTCACGGATGCCCCAACAACGATCAAAGATCCGGCCTCATTCACTGAAGCCCCAACGACGACCAAAGATCTGGCATCATCACGTGGAACAACAAAGTCAACCACGGGTTCGGACCAACCAACTGATGCCTCCAGTATTTCCAGTGCCTTGGTTTCATCTATGGTGCAATCATGCGTTATGTCGCTTCTGATCGCCTTTTATATTTAATCTGTGGTCACTCCTTGAACGCAAGAGATTATCTTCAAACACACCACTTCAAATAAACATGGTAGACCAGGCAGTCTTCTGTTGATAAATCAGCTATCTTCACGATATCACATTCGGAAACTGAACAAGCACTCATGAATACAACCATCGTTGCTATCGATGTTAGTTTCCGTGATATTCGTTGAATAAGTATGCTGCACGTAGACCTGACCTCACTTTTCAAAAAAACGTCGACACATAAATAAGAATTCGACCCTCTTATTCCGGTGTCTCGGCCCCAAATTCTAGGTGATTAATAGTTCGATTGTCGACCGTCGTGTAATTCATCTAAACCTGGCGCTGGGACGGTGAATTGTGCGTGAATTAAGTTAAAGTTGTAGTAGCCTTGCGCTGCATTTCTCACACCCTCTTGCCCTCCCTACTCACCTGTGCCCGGTATCAAGAAATCGGTCAAGAATAGCAGAGGTAGAAACGGGCGCAAGCTACTGCTGTGTCCCTAAACGTGTTGGGGAATCGCCGTTAATGCCACATTAATAAATAGCCATTAGGAGCTGAATATCAGCCTGGAAAGTGCATGATTTTCGTTTTTGCAAGGCACAGGACATGAGCTATTGGCTAACATGACAAGGAGTTTGTGTCTCGATTTTTAGACCGTTGGGTGACCATCCGACTGACCGCAAATCGGATTCACGGTTTATGCACCACTTCGGACTCGCTATGACTGACTGATGATGACTAATAAGTAAGAAACGGCCATTCTCGTCTGCCGTATTTTTGATAGGAACGTTCGTCTGGCTAAACATTTGAAGGGTATCATATAACGGATGATATGATAAGATGAACATAAAACATCAAGCCGCTACGTTCCATGTTGCAAATCGCGTTAAGGAAACTTCGAAAGAGCTTCGCTGCGAAGCTTTTCCTCACTGACTGCACATACAGGGGTTGCCTATCTGATGAAGTGTACGGATTTTTACAGGGAAATCCCTGTAATGCAAAAGCAGCTCACGTGGCGTCTTCTAAAGTCTAAGGGCAGTAAATTAATGATCGTTCTTCAAAATAGGGCATATTAAGTAATAATACTTTGTTTAGAAATACCATCTTCTTTGAAAAGACGGAAATTGCTAGTCGTTACTTCCGTTTATATATTGCTTAATTTACGTTGGATTAGACCGATTGGAAGGTCCTAGGAGATATTTGGTGAGCGCACGTGCAAAAATGTCGGTCGATGAGTAATAAATTTGAATGGAATTGTCAGATGCAATCGTAAATGTATTATGTTTTTTACACTAAGAGAAATTTCCTTCCGTCATTTCTTTGTACTTTTTTGGGAGGTCGATTACGACGAGGTTCAGATCGTTCTTGAAAGGGTGATTTACACTTTAAAATGTTCACTGGCTTCAGTTGATTGGTCAGCTATCAGCAAGACGAGGCAGAACTGCAGTATCGTGACATTATATATTGGGAGGCCAACCACCCGAAACCATAAATGTGCAAAGGAACCTAGGTGGTCTTATTAACGACGACCTAAGTGTCACCGCACAGTGCTTCAAAGCCGCAGCGAGAGCAATGTCGGTCATGGGCGCCATACGAAGGACGTTCGTTGACCTGAATACTGATATCTTCGGAAAAGTATATGGAGCGTTCGTGTGGCCGTATCTGAAATATGCGATGCAGGCTTGGCGGTCTTGGCTTCAGAAAAATATGAGGATCCTCGAAGGTGTTCAACGACGTTCTACCAAGGCG